TTGCATCCAAATTCCCGAAGCACATTGGTGTAGAGGGTTTCCAGCAGCCACCCTGTGACCATATTACTGATTCTAAGCAGGCTTTTAGTTTGTAATGTGTTGTTGATGTACACTGTTCTTCCAAGGAAACGTAGAAGTAGCTCACAGGTGGCAAAAAAGAAAGTGTGGGTGAAACATGAAAACATTGTTATGTTGAATTAGCAGAGACTGACAGCCACCTTCCTACATATTGTGTCATTTCTCTGTGATGCTGTACTTCTGCACAGCAGTGCTTTGAGCTTAAATACTAAAAGAGAATTATGGTTTATTTCAACCTGACATATTTTCTGTTAATGGGATTTCTGTGGTTCAAGTGTCATGCTAAATCTGCACTCTTCACCATCACTGTAGAGATTTGGAAAAACAAGAAGTTTCACAAAAGCATAACTGGCCAAAGCTTAGATTGACGTATATTTTTGAACCAGAGATAAGAATTGTTGAGTTACTAATATCAATCAATAAACACACAACATTTCAAATGTATGTCAAGGCCAGTTTTCAAAGACTAGTAAAGGTTTTAAGTGTTGGTCAGTATTATTACAAGTGCTTGTTGTTAATGGGTGATAACCGGAATAGTCGTGTTAAGTGTCACTATCCTTCATCACTGACCCAGGACAGGCATTTCCTCAACATTTCTTCCTTCTCAGGTCCACAGCATGTACCGCCGCACCGGGGCCAGTTTCCAGAAGGCCCAGCAGGAATTCTCACAGGGCGTCTTCACCAATAAAACTTTCCAAACAGCCGCCGCTGGAGCAGCCTCCTCCGCTGCTCAGGGAGCCTTCCAGGGAAATAACTAATGTACGATTGAGCTAAGCAGAGCTAACAGGTTAAGGTCTGTTTGTTATCAGGTCTACATAATTAATAAAAAAGCGAAGCAAATCAGGAAGTTTAGGTTCTCTGAGAACTAGTGATAAGTGATTCTTCCTGACAGTTAATGGTACTCTGGATATAGCTCCTGTCATTTGGATCCAGTGGTTGGATTTCTGCAAATTACAATCGGACCTTATAACATACAGATCTTGAGCCAGGTGAGGCTACGTTGGTAACCTCCCTTCTTTCACCCCCCTATCAGCGCACATGTAAATCCCCATGTTACTTTTTGCTTTTCCCATTCAGCCTGCAGAGGGACATTGTCTAGCTCTCTGTGAGTGTATAAAGCAGTGGAGGGGAAGGTCACACATCAAGTGCAGACTGGGGTGTAAAGCATGAATGAAGTTGACTGATTGGTATCTCAGAGTATCTTGGCTTTGTATATTTTGTGTGCACTTTCTGGCAATGCTCCTCAGTGTAATGTGCGAGTGTTTTGGTGTGTGTGTGAGAGAGTGTGTGTACTGGCATGTCTGTCACACAGGTTCATGTGGGCTCAGCATGCTTGTGATTTTCCACACTGATGATAGATCCTGATCCTGTAATATAAGATGAAGTGTTTGTCATTGATTGACATTTATTCAGTCTCAAAAGCCTTTCTCAGTTTAGAAACAGTTTTGGTTTTGTGTGCTGCAAATTTCAATCTAATGAGGAAGATAACAGATAGCTCCTGTGGCTATCTATAATCTGTCTAGCCTTGAAGTTTTGGTTATTATTTGGATGCTATCGTAAACAATCATTTTAATTTGCGGTCAGTTATTCAGGATTGCTGCTCCTAATGGTTCCTTCATAAATATCACATCCACAGGGGAGAAGTCGAATTTGCTTCAGTTTATTTTATTCCTGTAAACAGCAAATTTGAATCTACCTTAGTTTAGTATAGAGCAAGTATAACTGTGATAATAACTGTGGCCTAATTTACTTGATAAACCATCAAACTGATTTTTTTGGAATATCATGTTAATGGTTTTCGAAGCAGCTTCAGCAACATCTTTTCATTGCCTTGCTCAAAAGTTGTTTCTAAGGACAACAAAGCAGTACTGACTGCGAAAGTGGAAAGTTTTGCGAATAAAAAATGTATTTAATAATTAAAAGTAGATTATCATCCTTTGTTGTAGTTAGTTTAAATGGACTGAGTCAGTCCAGTCGTGAGCCTGTTCTTCGGATCTTTACACTAACATTGTTGCAGGACGAGGATTGTGAATCATCACAAATCATCAGAAAATGTCTCTGCACTCAAATTTGCCCAATGTGTCTTTTTTCTAAGTTCGTCCCAAGCAGTGTTAATTTGCCATAACATTGATCTTCCTAACAACAGATCCACTGTCTCCACATAACCAGTACTCAGCTACGGTATTGCATTTCACTTTTGCCTCACAGATTGTTGCACTTCTTTGCAGAATTTTAGCTCTTAAAGGTCTTCCCTGTACCTCCTGTAAGACGACCACCAAGCTATAAATTATTTGCATACTGGTGTATATTTTGTATGTGATTTCTTATATTGAAAAGCATGCTTATGTGTGTGTTTATTTGATGTACTGTTCAAACATCAGCTTGGATGTAATGTATGCCAGCATTCCTAAATAGCAATTCAGATGATTTGTGTGATGTTCTTGTGCCAGATGATAGTCTAATTCAAGGTTCGGCCTTACATCATTATGAAATGTAAAAATTTATATTCACACATTTCTCGATGCATTGTTTGGGAGAACAAAATTCAGTGCCTTTTGTATTTCAACTTTGAATATAGCATTTAATAAAATGATTTGCTACCATTTAAAGCTATAACTGTTCTATTTACTTACTCGTAATCAGTATAGATTGTGACACAAAACATATACAGTTGTGGTTGATGAAGCCCTGTCTATTTCTAAACCAGTGCTGTATTTAGTCATCATTTTGTCTATTTTGCAACTATTATCCTTTTCTTCTGTGTACTGCAAATTAGTTTAAAGACTTTTTTTTTTAAACTATTGGTGGTGTAGACTAGTTCTGGGGACATGGCATGTCACCTCACTGGCGGGGAAGGAGCCTGAGCTGGTGCAGGAGGTGGAGCGCTACCGGCTAGATATAGTCAGGCTCACCTCCACGTACAGCAAGGGCTCCGGAACCATACTCCTGGACAGGGGTTGGACTCTCTCCTTTTTCGGAGTTGCCCATGGTGAGAGGTGCCGGCTGAGCGCCGCCTTGTTGGAGTTCTCCCCGGAGAACGAGAGGGTCGCCTCTCTGCGACTGCGTGTTGCAGAAGGGAAACTCTGACTGTTATTTGTGCTTATGCACCAAATGGCAGGTCAGAGTATTCAGCCTTCTTGGAGTCACTGGGTGGTGTCCTGGAAGGGGTGCTGCCTGGGGACTCCATAGTTCTCCTGGGGGACTTCAATGCTCACGTGGGCAATGGCGGTGAAACCTGGAGGGGCGTGATTGAGAGGAACGGCCTGCCTGGTCTGAACCTGTGCGGTGTTTTGTTTTTGGACTTCTGTGCTAGCCATGGATTGACCATAACAAACACCATGTTCAAACATAAGGTTGCTCATAAGTGTACTTGGTACCAGAGTACCTTAGGCCAAAGGTAGATGATCGACTTTGTAGTCGTATCATCAGATCTGAGGCCGTATGTTTTGGACACTCGGGTGAAGAGAGGAGCAGAGCTGTCAACTGATCACCACCTGGTGGTGAGTTGGATCCGATGACAGGGAAGGCTGCTGGACAGACCTGATATACCCAAACGCGTAGTGCGGGTGAACTGGGAACGTCTGGAAGAGGCCCCTGTCCGTGGGATTTTCAATTCCCACCTCCAGAAGAGTTTTTCCTGCATCCCGGGGGAGGTTGGGAACAAGGAGTCAGAGTGGTCCATGTTCAAAGCCTCCATTGCAGAAGCAGGCGTCTCCTGAAGCAGCAGGCAGGTACCGGCTGGCCAAAAGGGCTGCAGCTGCGGCGGTCATGGAAGCTAAAACTCCTGGTGTGGGAGGAGTTCGGGGAGGCTATGGAGAAGGTGACGCAGTGGTTAGCACTGTTGCCTTGCAGCAAGAAGGTTGCCGGTTCACGCTCTGCTTTAATGAATAACAAAAAGATTAAGTGTTGTTTCACTCTGATTATTTTACTGTTTCTCACAAAAATTTCCATTGCAGAAGGTAGTTTCATACCGACCGATCGAGTCCTCCAAGAGACAAGGTGTTGAATTGTTTGTCAAGTGTTTCTTGACTTACTTCTGAGATGCCTTTAGCCTCAAGAATACTGCAGGCTCCAACAGCAGACCTTTGCTGGTTTGGAATAGAGGCTTCACCCTGCATGTTCTGGGCTGCACTGGATGAAGACACCTGCCAAACAGTAGGTGGTGATCATTCGCTGCTCCTATAGGACTCATGTAGGGACTGATTTCAGGCTGTCTGTCATCCTCGGCGGACACGAGGTTACTTTCTGATGTCTGAAGTCAGCTTAGAAACAGTAGATTTATTTCAGGAAGTCTAAATTTGAAGTGTCATTTGATCTTTAAGTTGCTTTCTCTCTTTGCATAGTTGTGTAGTCTACCTCGAGTGACCTCTGGCTTCCTAAACACTGTTTGAGTGGCGCTGATGGCTTGACGTTCTTATTAATCTCCATCTGAAACACACCTGAAATCTGTCACTTTTGCTTTAGCTGGAATTAGTTCGCTCACACATATTTTAGTTCATACAAGTATCTGATTTATTCTCCTAAATTCTACAAAAATTCAAAATGTGACATAACTTAGATAATCTGACCTTAAAGTGTAAGTATTTGCCCTTGCCTCCTCCGTTGTAGTTATTGTGATGATGCGCTTGTAACTTTGGAAAGGGCTGAAGTTTTGTCTGGAAATCACAACCTGGACATCAAACAAGTTTAGATGGTGTAACAGTTTCAAAGACATCACGGTTGAGCTTTAACCTAAATGTAGTGTTTTATAGCCAGACCTCATCTCCATGGAGCTGGAGAGAGATCAGATATACAAAGAAGTATTGGAAAAAGCATCCATCCATCCATTATCTATACACCGCTTAATCCTCACTAGGGTCGTGGGGAGCTGGAGCCTATCCCAGCCGACTTAGGGCGAAGGCAGGGGACACCCTGGACAGGTCGCCAGTCTATCACAGGGCTACACTCACACTCACACCTACGGACAATTTAGAATCACCAATTAACCTCAACATGTTTTTGGGAGGAAGCGGGAGAACCCAGAGAGAACCCACACTGCACGGAGAGAACATGCAAACTCCACGCAGAAAGACGCGGGACGCGAACCGGCAACCTTCTTGCTGCGAGGCAACAGTGCTACCAATTGTGCCACCCTGCAGCCCCAAATACATTCAAGAAAAGATAAAAAATGAATTCAGATTGGCCTATAGGAAGTAAGGGGCTGACCCTGGAGCCGGGAACCTCTGGACTACTGAACAGTATGCAGCTGTTAATAATAAACTATCTTATGCCTTGAGTGTCAAAGTGTCAGTGTTAACAATCTTCTAATGTCACATGAAGTAATGAATCAATCTCGGGGGGGATGATACATTCTTTTGCAAAGCAAATATTTCAGTCTGTACCTTTTGATAATAATACTTCTTAAATTTGGTTTAAGCAGGATTCTTCATTTCATTTTTTAAACTGTTGTTCTGGTATTTTTATGGAACTGAAAGCTCTCAGTACTTAACCTCTTGTGCACTGTGTGTTATAGTAAATTTTTGGAGTCTAATTTCGAAAAGCACTACACAGAAAGATAGATTTTGTAATGAAAATGAGTGTGTCGTCGGTTCTTTACATTTTAAGTCTAAGCTTGAGCTAATAAAACACATGTCAGACTTAGAAACCTCAGTGACTCAAGGGCCTACCTCGCCTGCCACAATCACATCACCAACAGGTTGATCTCATGTGTAAAACTATTTGACACAGAGAGACAAAATCCAGTGGTAAAACACAGACAAACAGGATATTGGTGACTTTATTGGTCATAGACAAAGCTGTACATTAAAAGCTGAGTAAACTGCTTTTAAAGTTGATCCTCCATCGGTGGCTATAATCAATAAGGATGGTCACGGACATACTCCATGATGTGCTTCAGGGCCAGCCAAGTCTCAGAGGCGGTGGGGATGATCTGACTGGATGGCAGGATGAAACCATAGCGGCCAGTATCCCTCAGCTCAAAGGCGTAGGAGTATTTAATGCCCAGATTGTAGGACCAGTCAATGCTGCCACCACTGGCTTGGTCTGAGGACAGAACAAGAGACACAACAGTTGTACTATGAGTGACTGTAGCAACAATAATGATAATACTGTAAGTAGTCAATAATAAGAGTTATTTTACTATTATTTTAGATGCACTGCAAAGCCTACATATCTTTTGGTTAATTTTTTTTTTATCCTCTAACTATAAATCAAGGTATCAGTGTGTGTGTGTGTGTCTCTTATTCTCATATCTCAACAACCATACATTCAGCCTGCTCCAAACTTAGTGTGTGTTGCATATAGGGTGTATTGCTGGGGACACAAGAAAGTGGATTTTCAGGTTTGAAGAGACCCTCTGAGGACCCTAGAAAGGACCCAAAAAGGGCCAAAATTCATCTGATCTGCTGAAAAGTCAAGACTGTATTCATTTAAGGCTCCAGCAATACACCCGCCAACATTTGAATGGGCAGAGATGTGAAAGAGAGAGACACAAACAGACAGAGACTTATTAGTGAGATTGGTGACTTTAGAATTTGAGTTATTATGTAGTGAGTTGGACAAATGGAGGAAAAGGTTACTTACAGATGATCTTGCAGATGCTTCCAACCTTGTAACTGGTGCCATAGAGGGAGGTGAGTTTCTGCACTGCTGCTCTGCCAACAGAGTCCTACAGGAAAACAAAGCGTGCACACATATCACTCAAGTAGGAGGGAACATGATGAATAATGTTCATGAATGTCTAAATAAATACAGGTCTATAGGTCTGTTATACACCTTGTCAGAGTTTATCTGAGCACTGTCCAAACATGAAGCAGATTATTGCTGAAAAAGAGCGAACCTGACTGAGTTAAGTATCAACTCTGATGCAAATGATTTAGTTTTGAGCTGTAAAACTTTCATTAGGTGAGAAATTGCAACCACCACGCAAATACTGTCAACATACTATGCAGTCAAATAGTAGGATAGAAAGAAGACAAATCAGCTCATATTACCTTTGGATACCTGAACTTGTTTAGAAAAGAACATTTTTTTTTTACCAGCTCAGGCTGATCGGGCACGTTGTTGCAGGAGTATCCGTAGGGGTACATGAGCAGCTGTGAGTAGGCATGGACGGAGATGAAGGCCTTGAAGTTGCCATGGCTCTTGATCAGGTTCACTACGTTCTTCACCTCGATCTCAGAGTGAGCTGAGGGGCCACGGTAGGAATCAGAACAGGGGTAGCTGCTGGCACCGGGGCCTGGATGGAAGAGTTGAACATGTGTCATGATGAGATGACACAACACAGCAACGTAAAAATGACTGGGAAATGGCACGTCAGCAAGATTTCTATAATAATACAGTTTACGAAGGCTGCACATGACATAGATGGTTATATACAGTATGTCACAAAAGTGAATACATTTTCACTTAGGGCTGTACTCACTTTTGCTGCTAGCGGTTTAGACATTAATGGCTGTGTACTGTATTGAGTTATTTTGAGGGGACAATAAATTTACACTGTTGTACAAGCTGTACACGGAGTAGCACTGTAGCAAGGTGTTGTTTCTTCAGTGTTGTCCCATAAAAAGATATAATAAAATATCTGTAGAAATGTGACATACTGTATATGCTTAGTTAATAGGTCCACCTGAACTAATGCAATCCAATATAACTGTTCTGCACGAAAGTTAACTTTTACTTAAAATGTTCTCTTTTTTTGACACTGTAATAGTGCTTATATAATATACCACATCACATTCCACCACATTTTTCAAATACTTCATATGTATTTTCAATGCATGTTCTTGCATTAAAAAAATAGTTTAAAGTTTAGTTTTGTTGACATTGGCCTAACAATAATGTTCAGTTTTTTGAGAACAAGCAAAGACTTGAAGAATCATGAATTAAAGTATCATTATACAAGGTTCATGAGATGCATTCACTGTCTAAGCAATACTGACCACCAAAGCCTGCATCCCAGTTCCTGTTTGGATCGACTCCACGGCACGAGTAGCCTGAGTTGATGGAGCGAGTCTTACGCCACATACGATCCTGCACATCACACAGCATCAGTCAGCACTGTGTGTATGATCATTCTCTTTCTGCTCTGACAATTTCAACTGTACAGGTCCCTCAAATATTGCATTCTTTCAGTACAATACAGTGAAAACTCATGTTCCTCTTTTAAATATCCACCATATATTCCACATAAAAACAACATTATCATAGTGAGTGACGGCGACATACGCTGCTGTGGGTGTAAGCGTAGCCGTCAGGGTTGGTCAGGATCATCAGGTAGATGTCCATGGTGTTCAGAAGGGAAGTCAGAGAGGCGTCAGTGCCATAATCGGTGGCAATCTAAACCAGAACACAAGGCAAGTATTTTATAGAAATGCTAAAAAGGCAAGCTTTCATGACTTGGGTGACAGTTTATGCAGAGTAGACAATGTCTGCTTGAATAGAGGAAAGAGAAACTCCAAGATTATTTACTGGAAGAGGCTAGGAAGGAGTGTGAGGCAAAAGGAATTCAGACAGTCCCTTATTGTTAAGTTCATATTGTAGAATAAAATATGCTCTTTTGGTGCACCTTCTCTGGGACAAATCAGATGCTGCATGATTCTATGTTTCTTTTCCTCTTTCACATTCTTACACAAACACTACAAAATAGCATAGAAGTAGAGCATGTGGTATAAATGGTGCCAGAGCAAACAAAGTACTTAAGTGTTAATAAAGTGAGGTAGAAACCCTTCAAATCAAATCAGTCCACGTGGTTAACATGTCGTACCTTGTTGGCTGTCCACACTCCAGTAGCCTGAGACACCCATTCTCTGGCGTGGATACCTGTGTCGATCCAGATAGCGGGGCGGTTGGAGCCGCCAGTGCTGAACTGAACAGAAAGTTGACAAAAGAGTCAAACACTTTCAAACTTATACACTTTATTCCACAAACTAAATTCTGTTGTTCCAGAGCCTGAAAATGTTAACACTGCTGTCAGCACATTTCCTACAGCAGTAAAATACAGGTCTTCTACACCAGGATCCTCCTACCTTGAGCACATACATGGGCCTGTTCTCGTAGGATCTCCCAACTTCCTGCTTGGTGATTAGATTAGCGTGCTGAGCCACCAGAGTGTCCATCCAGCTGTAGATCTGTATGAAGACAAACCAATTGTTACAATACAAATGATGTATTAGACTATCGTGCTTATCAAAAATGATAAAATATTAAAAAGCAGCTCAACTTGATGCTTGACAAATTTCAGTGTGAGCGTATTAGTCTATTGATTTGCCACACTGTAAATTGTTGACTTCAGTTTCAGGATAATTGCACAACAGCCCATTATTCTGCACATTTACAGGTTTGTAGTTTTATTTTTGGAGTCTGCTACACTATTTTTATTGGTTTTATTGTCCCAAAAACAGAAACTCTCTCATACTGTCCATTTCTGCAGAATCTCCTCTCTGTCTGAAACGTTCAGTTTTAGCTCCTGTCTCTGAAATTTTTGCTCTCTAAAAATCGATGCAAGCATCATCCCAAAACTACAGAACTGGTCTGTATTCACCAACCATGTGGAGGAGACTTTTACTTGGAGAGACGGACTACCTGACAAGGAAACAGACTTTGAAAGAAGAAGAGCTCCAAGAGTTAGGTCCTGCAGCTCTTGTTCCACTCTTTTTTTCATCAGCAGTATTTTCTGAACCAGTTTGGGACTGATGAAGCCCAGATAAGTTTCAATAAGGAATTTGTGGCAGTTGGTCTACTCTGGAGAGAATACATTGTGTGCTTGTGTGTCAGTAGCCTACAGTTTCCAGAGTATGATAGGCTCCGAAATTGAAGCTCCTGGTGCTGCGCTCCCTCCTCTGGTTCTCCTCCATCGCAGCTTTCTCCTCATTGAGAAGCTCCTGAATGTGACATGCAAGAGAGCTCAAATTTACTACTAGCATTATTTATGCTCAAAACCAAGACATTATAATCTTGAACAACAGAACTCATTAATGTGTGTTAATAACTGAGTCTATTTGGAGGATTATGGACCTGAACGTTGTTAATCATGACACTGAAGGGGATGCCATGGGCATCAAGGTACTCCTTCACAGAGCTCAGGCTGGAGCGAGGCACTCGGATGTCAACAGGAAGCTCGGTGGAGACTGGGTGGAGCCAGAAGTCCAGCTGTAATCAGAGAGCCAAAGAAACATCACAGACTGGACCACAAAAACTCCCAGCAATAAGCAGGGACAGCGTTGGTAACAGGGAAGCATGCCTTGAGCAGAACAGTCAATGCTGCATCACATATCCTCAAATAAATACAACCAAGTAATCTAAATGATGACTCTAATTCAGTTTCAGCATTTTCTCCAATTGTATTAGTGTGTTGATTCTTTTCAAAAGCCACATTCATTTGTACCTAAGAGGTGCAACCAAAGATACAATAAATAAATAAGATCTTTATTAAAGCATTAAATGGTGAGCGCTGCTGGGTCGCTGAAAGTTTCTGACTTTCTGACATGTGGAGACGACTCTGTTAACCTCCAGTCCGCATAAACTCTCAACTGAATTTTTGAAAGTGTTGAACTTGATTTGCCTTTTGTACCACTTAAAAGTTCACGAGGAACTGTTTGCCACAAGCAGCTCCAAAAAAAAAAAAAAAAAACCTGAACATCGCTGTTTGTGCTATGTACCCAAAGGGATTGTGTGTGTGTGTGTGTGTGTGTGTGTGTGTGTTTGTGTGTGTGTGTGTACCTCCTGCTCCTCTGCAGCCTCCAGAGCCTGCAGGAGCTTGATCTGTTCCTCCGACTGCACATTCACCCTGATGACCTGATCTCTGGAAGACATTCATTTTAGTCTCTCAACATTACTGTTTAACTTCTACGTTAGTGCTTTATTTATAGAAACCTATGGTGAGTCGAGCAGAAGAGGAAGATTTTATTCAGTGCTTACCAGGATTACAATTACTAGTGCAGCACAGCATGTGCAGCACTCAACACTCATTAATTATACTGTAATCTTCATTTAATCTTTCTCTAAACATAAGCGGTCATGTTCTACCCAGTGAACTCCAATGTACTTTTGCAACTTGAGCAGTTATTTGCGATGCAGAGCAAAAGGCAACTTAAGGAAGGGGGAAACATTTTTTTTAATCCTGTTTCTTCATATAGAATTCAAAAAAAATAAAATTTGTACACTAATTTGCAGCAACCAAAAGCCATCACTAAGTATCAGGGATTCTGCTATGCTGCTGTAGTGAGGAGGCTGGTTGGAAACTATGTCAGAATTAGAGATAAGAATATGACATACTGATATACCTAGGTTTCCTGTTCCACAGTTAATGATGATAATTACCTGATGTGCATAAACTAATATAGGTACGGTTGGAATTTTGATATTCTGAGTGACCGCTTTTCAAAATAGTCCAGGAGGAGGGATACTCTGGTGTAGTTTAGGGGAAATGGTTAAGTGGGGAAAAAAACATCAACAGTTTATTTGACTACAATAATCTATACTATAATAAAAATACAAAATAAAATGTGTTTTCATTGTTACTAGGCTACGCTTTGCTATATTGTGGTCGATATTTTAATGATTAGAGAGGTCCTGTTTTGTAACGCATCCACCCTGCAAATAATGTCACTGCTGCAAATATCCTGGTGTGAAACAAAAAAATCTCCCTAATAAAAACCTTGACATGACAGAAAAATACTTTTGTAGTTGGATCAGACGTTTCCAGTGAAATAACATGCAATGGAGCTCAGGATTCAGTTAGTACTAATGATTTACCTGTAGCTGATAATATGTGACTGTGTGTGACAGCTCACCTGTCTGAGGTGAAGAAAAATGCACAGCGTTGTTTACTGTTCGGTCCTGATCAATCTTGTCACTATGTTGGGGATAATTTCTAATTTTAATTAAATAATAACGCACAACTCTCTCATTTAGATGCTCATGTGGATGCTGCTGCTGCTGTGTGATGATGTGGGTATTTCTTTCTTTTTTTTTCTTTTTTTAAAAAAAAGATTATTGTTCTGGCGTTTTTGCCTTTGTTAGTCAGGACAGTGAGAGAGTGAGACAGGAAAGGGGGGAGAAGAATGGGGAGAGACCTTGCAGCAAACTGTCGTGAGTGGGAGTCGAACTCAGAGAAAAGATTCCTACAGACAGCTGGGAGCAATAAACTAAACTTCGGCTTCTGTTAAAGATGGCATCTATTATACTCTGACCTGACTCTGTCTTCATAGCGGTGAAGTGTTGTTTTTTTTAACATTCATTTTAGTTTTTCAGAGATGTGAAATTGTGTCTAACTGTGTCTGTTGTCCTCTCTCTGATGCTTATGGACATCACTGACCAAGTGACAGTCATCTAATGCTGCTTTGACTTGAACTAGAGTTCAGCAGTTGATTTCCCTGAAACTTGGACGTCAGATTTTCAGTGAATGAGCTTGACCTATCGCATATAGGGTGACTGCAGGCATAAGATTTCGGGGGTTGAGAAGTTATTTAATTGGGGAGAGAGTGTAGTTTATAATTACAGGAACACATACATTGTAACTTTTGTTCACCTCAACCATATTTTCTTGTTAAGTTCCTATGGAGCAGCTGCAGCATGGTACATATGACAGTGTTTTTCTTTGGGTATGATAAATGGTGGTTAGGTGTCACAAATATTGATTGCATTGTTCTTTATCATATCATTTGGTGTATTCTTCCTCTCTAGCAGAAAGATTATAATAGGAATCTTTCTCTTTGAAATTCTTGAAGCCGTTTCACCTCTCATCCAAGAAACTTCTTCAGTTCTGAAGAAAGTCCCCCAATGCTACTTCACATATAAAGTCAACACAGATGTGTCAGTCACATCTAACTCACAGGCAAGCACCAAAGAAGTTCAAAATGAATGCTAAAGAAGCTGACAGTAAAATCATGCTCAGTGTGCACCAACAAACTCACCCAGTGAAGACCCTCTCAGCTTTGGCCGCAGCCACAAGCACCATCAGCAACCAGAGACCTTTCATCTTGCCTGTATGCCTGCACTGTCCAGGGACCACAAGTGAGTCAGCGTCGACTGGACTAGTCTTTTAAAACCATCAAGGCGGCAGGTGGGCTGTTCTCATGCAGGAGAGTTGGCTCACTCTGTTGATAATCACTCCATTCCTCTGTCTGGGAAAAAGTTATTTTGAGTGACGAACATGCTGATTAGACCTTGTTTAATCTTTCAGTGCTCAGCTGCAGATAGTGGTGGTTTCCCCAGATAGTGAATAGTTGATCTGCTAAGACTGTAATTACACACACTGTAGTCAAAGAATGTGCAGGAATACAACAAAATCATATTTTGGCTTTACTTCTGGGAGGCAGTCCACAGATTTATTTATACTGTAAGATATTTTAAAGACTAAAGAGTCTTTTTTTTTTTTTTTTAAACGTCTGGGCAGCTTTGCTAAGGCTGCTGCCTCTGTGACCCGACTCCGGATAAGCGGGAGAGGATGGATGGATGGATGGATTGATGGATGGATGGATGGATGGATGGATGGATGGATGGATGGATGGATGAATGGATGGTTTTTTTTAAACATTCATACAAGCAGACTCTACAAAATCTGCATGTCCCATATCCTATGTCATGGATCTAACACAAGTTAATTCACACTCTGCCACTCTCTGACCAATTAAATGTGATCACGTGGCATCGGTGTCTGAGGTTGGTTCTGAACTATGATTATGGCAAAGACATTGGCTGTGGCTCCCAATTTTTTTGGCCTGTATATCTTTACAATCAAGCATGTCCTACTCAGCTGTGGCTCAGGTGGTAGAGCGGTTGTCCTCTAATTGCTTGGATTTTTGGACTGAACCCAAAGTTGCTTCCAATGGCAGGCAGCACCCTGCATGGCAGCTCTGTCGCCATTGGTATATAAATATGTGTGTAAATGGGTGAATGAGAAAACACTGTAAAGCGCTTTGAGTACCACTAAGGTAGAGAAGCACTATATAAGTGCAGACCATTTACCATTTACTCATGAGCCCTGGTTCTAGGTTATATGTTTCTATGAGCTGTGAGCAGTTCAGTCTGAAAGTGACACTTCGTCCACAGATTGTATAATTTGTATATTTGTTAATAGTTCTGAACCTAAACTCTTTAGTCTTTAAAAAATGTGAAAAATTTGATATAAAATAAAATAACATTAAAAAAAAAGACCTAAAAAATGCTCTTGTGTATACTTCATAGGTGCCTACTCAATCCAGTTTTATTTACATAGTGAAAATTATTAACGCAGGTCATTTCAGAGCAGGTCGCATGGTTAGGTCTCCACCCCCCGGGTTGGGACCCTCCTTTGACAATTAAGCCACTGGGACACTAGGAAACTTGGATAGAACAAGCTTACAGCATGTTGTAACTATTGGCATAACAAATTTGGCTCATGGTTTAGATTTCAGACAGTTAAGGATAAAATTGTAGGTATAATTAAAGACATTTAGCAAGATTTAAAAGAGCATACCTGACAAGCAGGTCTGAGTGGCTCAGATCTGGTTCCCTTGTTGGACCAGAACCTGTAAAAAGTCTTGTCCATGTGTAGTTGTCTATGTGCTAGGAGTCTTAACATAATTTTGATCAATATATTCCTTTAGACTCTGACCATCATGTTACTAAGCTTGTCCAGACCTGGTTTCTACAGCAAAGAAATATTAAAATCAGATGTTTCTTGTCTGCCTCTGCAGACCTTAGACTGTTTCTTCACTCCCTCATTTTTAACTATCCAGATTAGTCTATTACAATCTTCAAAATCAATTTTGTTTGTTTGTTTGTGGTACACCTTGGTAACATGTGCATCTGGTGCGTATTATGTGCTTGAAGTGACAGGTGTGGGGAAGTGAAGGACACAACAGCACTTGCATATGGGCATAGTAACCAGTAGATGGCAGTGAATTACCACCCTGACATATTATGGTGCCATACAGTAATAATACACCCCATTTATGGCTACAATGAGTGACATCAGATTAAGGAAGCTGGAATTACCCTAGATCCTAAATTATTGATCAGCCACTAATGGATTTTTTTGTCTTGATCAGTGTCATAATTAGAGTTGGTGTGTTTGAGCCTATTGCAGTGTGTAGCCTACAGTATATGATTAGAGCTCAAAAGGTCAAAACAAAACAAAACAAAACAAAACAAAAAAACCCCCAACAAAAACAAAACAACAACAACAACAACAACTAAATATCAGGCAGTGCCAGCTTCTTGAAAATTAGAAAATTCTGCTTTGTGGAATTTTACAGAATTGTGAGCTGAGTGTTTCAGACTGTTACAAAATAAGGATTCATTGAAAAACTGTGATGAACATTTTCTGTCAATTTTATAAATTAAAGAATCTGAAGATAATTGGCAGATACACCAACAATAAAAGTAATTATTAGTTGTAACATCCTGAACTGCAACCGCAGCTGTAAAGGTCACTACATTTTCAAACATTATGCAGCATTAGGAAAGTTACGATATACTGAGAGTAAGGATAACCATGATAATTAAAAATGAAATACTGATGTCATGTTGATAACACACATATGATAACATCATCAATAATCCAGCAGCACAGTCACCTCCACAAACTCATATTTTGAGTGTAAATTGTTTGCTAAAAGAGGCAAAACACACAATAAACAAAGCTAAAGATGAACTTGACTGACAGCATTTTTATATTTTCTCCAATTCTTCTCCAAATATTATGTTATGTTATATATTATTGTCACATCCCTATGTAGCATGCTATGACACCAAGTCTTTTAAATGCAGTGGAGTACATGCATGTGCTAAATGGAGACCCTTAACCAACATTTGCCTTCCACTGGCCTTATTTAGAGACTCATGTTGTTCTCATAATGTTGCAAACATCGCACCAACTCCAAGTACTTGTCACAAAACAAAGTGCGATAAGGTTCCTGAGCAGCCCCCTTGGCCTCCCTCCAGTGGTGCAAACACAATCATATTTTATTACTGATAGCAGAGGATTTGGGGTTTTGAGTTATTCATGCTGATATCCGCTGGTTGATATCAGACTGAGCATCGCACAGTCTCTCTGCTCCCCTCAGCTGCCGTGACTCCCCGCCAAACCCTCCCTCCTCTCTGAAATTAATAAAAAGAGGTTTTAACATGTCACTTCCCTTTCCTTTCACTCCCTAACAATCCCCGGAGACAAAGTGAGAGAAAGGGGTTTAATAGGCGTGGGAGACGTGGGAGTTGAGTTGGGACTTTCCATCTTTCTCAATGTGGAAATTATTTATTGCTATTCCTGCTGTGAGTGTCTAAAAGTTTAATGTCCCCATGAAAAATGGCTTTACATGCAAATGTGGGTGTTGAGGGAGTTTTTCCCCTCTTTTGTCCCCTGTCATTTGCCTCTAAAAGCTATATGAACAAGGCACCCCCGACCGACTTGTTCCACATGACTTCCTCTGCTTCACTATAAATAGATCCATTTACATTGCATTTCATGGCTGAGCTGTCTCTCAATATTTCAGAGGCCCACCAGTAAATTGACCATTAATCATTTATTGCTCACTTGTTCATCTCATTTTGCCCATAGTGTATGTGTAGATATTACACAGCATTTGCTCAAACACAATTAGGTTTTTTGATGTGCATTTTCTGTCTATACAAAGTACAGTTTGTGAGAAAAAGGCAGATCTGCGTCCATTTTATTCCAACTGTGATGGGAGGGTCGGAGTTGCTTCGCTCGTACCGTGGTCACCTGAGTGCATCTGTCATGGGATTCCCCCTTCTGTTCAGACTGGTGGTCAGATGGCAGAGGCCAGGAGGAGCTGGTCAGCTGTGGCTGTCCTCTGTTTCTGCTGCACAGCTACATATCAGGCTGTAATGTTCCTTTTGCTCAAAAGTGTTGCAGTTTGCTTCTGTGGTGTACCGACTTTGTCTCAGCAGCCAGTCTGAACAGACAGAATGAGAGCAGGGCGAGAGCGAGAAAGTGACAGTTTCTCTGCTGGAGAAAACGTAAGCTCCAGACCTCAGATTTAAAATGCATCGAGACATGTGGCTGAACTTTCTGATCTATTTAGCTCACCAATGTCGCTCCTGCCTGGGAATGCTAAATACTGGTTGTCACAGTTTAGTTTGGGAAGATGCTCCAGTTGATTCTGTGACCGACAGAATATTTTACATTGACTGATGTTGATGTTAGGAAGATTATCAACATAAATGAGAAAATGACACCACCAGACAGAGTGGAGGATAAATAACAATGAGATACATGAGTAAACCCTCTGAAACATATTATTTTGTTGTCATCCAAGTGCAATAAAGAAAACTCAGTTATTGGCTTCAAGTGGATTTTTTCTGAAGCTTATAGGGAATCCAAATGTTTTGGATTGTTGGGTGTTTCTGTCTCTGCCTTTGTGAAGCGCTATGAGATGACTTGTTGTAAATATGCGCTATACAAATAAAATTGAATTGAATTGAATTGTTTCTGGTAATCTTGTCCACTAGGGGACAGAGAGATTCCATAGCAGCCCTCACACACCATCACTTTATCAAGCTGTAGTAATCATGTGGTAGCAAACACTTGTTTACCTACACATCTGCCAGACGCAGATCAACACAAGCACCTTATTGCAGTAAATTTCTGGTTCTATTATGAATAAAGTCCACTTTTCGCTCTTGTTATGGCCCTCCCTCTTCTGAGAGACATATCCGCCTCATTAGCGGCTTGAAGCTTGACTTCCCTCACTAACCTCTAATTTCATTTACTGGTTCTCTCTCTGCCTTTTGGTGCTAGAAATTTTGTCTAAGCTTTTTTGCTAAAAAATCTTTGTCTGAGGTTTCTGAGGAGGGTCGACAGCAGTGAGAGCATCTACGTTCAGGCTAAACAGAGACAAAAGTGGCTGAATCAGGAGGAAACAATCTATTTTGTACCATTTTTAATTCACCATTTATTGTTGTGCGGGTATGGTTGTGTGCAGCTGTGTTTGTGTATAAACCTATGGCTGATTTTAATGTATATCTCTCTTTTAACGAACCTTACAAAAGGCGTGTACACAATTTCCTTGTATGTTCTTTATAATGACAAGAAAGGCAATCTTGAAGCTTGAAATAGCATAGAGTTGTACACAGTAGTTGATCCTCATTCTGTTTAGTGGTAGTAGTTCTGCCAGTTCTTTATTACCATGTAAACAGTTAATATCAAAAACAATATCTACTGCTGTCTTTAAGCTTCACCCATTGTTTTTTTTTTTTTTGGCTGCTCTGCAGCAGAAAAATTCCAAAACACACTGACAAATATTTTAACATATTTCCACCAAAAGCTGTTTTGTCTATGGTTTTAGCAAAACATTGAATATTTTATGTCCAGCAATCTTATAAATTTAACATTAGCATTGACCTAAACTCATGTTCCTGACTGTCTGATATATAAAGCCCATATTCTATTCCCTATTGAACCTTGAGCTTTAAATTTGTTTCCACATTTTGTTTCTCCCCCAAAGCTTGTTGTCGCCTTTGTCAGTGTGATGTTTAGTGGCAGGCAGGCAGCTACATACTGTCCTGTTCTAGATTTTTCAGAAACTGTGCAACCAAAGCAAAGAGATACAAGAACTGTAACAGTTGCATGGATCTACACAGTATGTTAATAAACTGTTTGGCTGTAACATTAAAACCACCTGCTGAATATTGTGTATGTCCTCTTCCTTCTGTCAAAACAGCACTGACCTATTGGGGATCTTTGTGGTGTGTTGTGGTGTCTGGCGCCAAGATGTGAGTAACGGATCCTTGGGATCCTGTGGGATCCTGTGGGATCCTGTGGGATCCTGTGAGACACCCTAAACCAATGGGGGGGTGCACTTGTTCTGCAACAGTGTTTAGGTTGGTGGTATGTGTTGAGGTAACATCCACAGGAATGCAGGACCCAAAGTTTCCCAGCAGAACACTGCATTGTAATGACATCAATACTTGCTTCACCTGTCACTGGACGGTTAAGGTTGACTAGGTATTTTTTTGTTTTTTATCCACTATTAACAATCATGCACACATAACATATGATCCCATATTTAAAAAAGAAATCGGTGACATGGAACTTAAAGAGTTAAATCCTAACCCTTTTCCTTTAAAGCAATGAAATGTACTAACCCATAAAGGTACCTCAGCTTTAAAATCATCTATTAAATGAGAACAGTGTTTGAAAAAATTTATATTACGAGGAGAGTAAACATCAGCAAACCTCTGTCAGATGTATAAAACAAAGAATCAGAACACAAAATTCCATTTTCCAGTAACCGTGTTTGTTGACAGCGTTTTTTTCATTCACGTTGACTTTGTTAAAAATATGCATTGAGGCGTTCACATGGATCTGTTCATGGATTACATAAGCTCTGAAACGGAGCCACATCTCTAGAAAATCCTCCGTGGCACTGTCACATTTATAGTCTCCGTTTTTGCCAATTGAGTCTTGATGGAGCCGTACATCTGCGTGACATCACAGATGCAGAGACTGGACAGGCTCTGCTGCTTGTTTCTCACTACACGAGGACAAGCAGTGAATGTTAACTGTCCCAAGGCGCATATTTTAAT